CATTTGCTATTATTTTCTCCCATTCTGAGCGTTGTCTTTTCACCTTGTTTATAGTTTCCTTTGCTGTGCAAAAGCTTTTAAGTTTAATTAGGTCCCACTTATTTATTTTTGTTTTTATTTCCATTACTCTAGGAGGTGGATCATAGAGGATCTTGCTGTGATTTATGTCATAGTGTTCTGCCTATGTTTCCCTTTAAGAGTTTTATAGTGAAACCCCTTTTTTATTTGTCTAAAAATTTGTAATTACTTGTGTTATATTGATCACGTCTTTAGTATAAAGTATTTTTCCTATCTAAGAATATTACTTGAATTATGTATTAATTAGCTAAATCAAATGTTAACATTTTTCCCATATACAAGAGAAGTGGCCAATCTATTCCCAAACTTCCATAAAGACTTTCCTGACATTCCATTCTGAAACCAGTTTCATAATTATATGCCAATCATTTTGATGAGTAATTTCATTACTTCTTCTTAGGAGATCATGTATATCAACATGTGAAAGCAGATGATTCACTTCAAAGATGAAAAAATAAAAGTGAGCCAGTTCTTTAAGGTGCTTGTTATTCTTTTCTGCGATTAAATTCGGAGTAAAACTAAATGAAGTGAACCTACACGCAGCAGAAATACAAGAAAAAAATTAAAAAGAAGAAATGCTCACAAAGTCAACCATCACATTAAAATTCCTTTTTGCTGGGTGAGCTGAAATACCATGAAAAAAAAAAATCCACCTGCCATTCAGTTTAATTTCTTGTGTTTAGAGCTCTATAGCATTCTGTGTAAAACTAATCAATAAAAAGGATTTATGAGGCCTTGAAATAGAACAGTCGAAAGGAGGAAATTATAGTCAGTTTTAGTTATTAAAGATTTTCACCACTAAATTTAGTATAAGGGAAACGTTATACATCTTTTTTAGCTGAAACAGGACATTTATCAAACGCATGGATTGGGGAGACGATTGTGCTTAGACCCACTGTAATGTGTCTTTATTTGTTGCTCACCATTTATTGTTGGCTGTGGTGAAGTAGGCCTAAACAGGATTGGAAAAGCTATGTAAAAAAAAAAAAAAGCAAGAAAACACAGTAGGCTGTGACCCAGACATGAGACAAAAAGAAGTATTTGTGAATTCAGATCCAGTTCATACTAAATAGCTTTCTGAGACCTTATTTTGAAGAGTGAAATCAAGGAAACGAAACCAAGGGAGGAAGTGAGCAGGGAAGGGAGGAAAACTCCCCACCACCTGGAACAGCTTTCACTTTATGGGATCAAAATCTAGCTCTGATCATACTTGGAGACCAAGTCATTCCTAATTTTTGTTTGTTTTTGGTATTATAATATTTGCTGGACCAGGAGCATCTCTGAAAATAGTCGTCCATGGACTGTGTAACACTGTTGCTTTGTGATGAATTTTGAGAGAGTGCCTCAAGGCGCTTGGGTGCTGCCGTGCATAAATAAATGTTCTTGAGACTTTTACCTAGATACATTTCATAGCAGGTTAATTTGAGAAAATTCAAGAATTTAGCTTTTGTTTGATGAAATGCAAATGACAGATGGAAAACTGCGGTATTTTGAAAAGAAAAACTGTAATGATGCACAGAACATAAGATTGCCATAATAATAATGGTGCTTAGCATTTACACTGAGTTCTTCATCTTCAAAGTACTTTACAAACAACTAATTAAGCCTCATAACACTCCTGAAAGACAGGTAAGGATCATTACTGCCATTCTACAGATGGAGAAAATGAGGCATAGGGCGGTTAAGTATTTTTGCCTAAGGCTATTGGAAATAAACAGAATCTACCAGATTAAGGTCTAGAGACTCAGTCTTAACATGGATAAAGGGACCAGCATTCTTTGAACCAAAACAATGAGGCTTTTAGTGCTGAATATCTTTCCTTTTGAAAAGAAGATTAACCTGTCATTCAGTTAACACTGATTTCCCAATAAATTAAAATGATACAGTATAACTCCCGTTCACTGTTTCTTTGTCTCATTCATTCTTCAGGCTCCACAATTATCCCCAAAGAATGCCTTTTCTGAATGATTAGGTGACAAGGGCCTTTACAGTCAATGTCCCCTGGTGGCAAGGCATTGAGAACTCAGGTTTTATTTCACATTAAAGTTGCGAATCATATCAATGGGCTTCATTTAAAATTATGACAACTCCTCATTTCCGATGGGCAATAATTGTTGGCAATTTCAAAATCCTGTAGTGTGTGAAAGAAAAAATATGTAGATTTTACTCTTTTATTCTTTTCTACTAGTTAAGTCTCTTGATAATTCTCCTGAATCCCCAAATTATTGTTGAAGGTGTAGAATGTCACCAAAAAAACAATTCTCAGCATGAAAACAATCTAGTAGATTGCTTATTTTTGGTATTACTACCTTTAGAAGTCACCCAGGTTTTAAAGGAGAGTTGGAAACATGCTATGGAAAAAAGCAGAAATTTTAGGACAGTTGTTTCTTTTCTTTCTCTTTGGAAGATTAATAAGGTCAATGATCATATTTTTATATATACTTATTTGTAAATCCTCAGCGCCTAGGATCTTACATACTGTCTGAGGGAACAGGATTTGAAATAAGAGTGAGAATTGCACTAACACCACTGTGGGAGGTAAATGTATAATTAAGTCATATTCTACCTTATAAATATGTTGAAGAAATACAAAAAGGAACAGAGATTACTTTTGTCTGCTTAGGTACTGAAAATGGTATGTACTTACCAAATTTTCTGTGATAGCACCAGCTTTTGAAGACTTTGATTCTGAAAAATAACCCCTGTAATGATTCTGAAAAATAATCCCTGTAAACTATTTTTTTTAATTCCCAACAATAAAACCATTCTAAACTTAGAATGTGATGATAGTTGCACTACTTTGTGAATACACAAAAACCATAAAATTGTGCACTTTAAATTGTAAATTTTATACTATATCAATTAGAGTTCAATTAAACTATTTTTTTTTAATGTCAGAAAATGCTAAGCCAATCCACCACTTCCTCCCTTTCAGGGCTTATCTATTTTAGCTTCCAAGAACTCTACTCTACCAGTTTAGAATATATTCTCAGAGTATATTAAAAAGATTATATTTTCTTCTCATTTTGTTTCTGTTGACTCTGCAGGAATCATTGGGATCTCAGCTGCTGTCCATTCTCAACACTTATCCCATGGAACACCATTGCGGAAAAACACTGGGGCAATACCAGCTAAGCTGATGTGGGTCCCTAACCACTAAGAGTGAAACTATTCCCTACTCAAAGGACACTATAGCTCATGAGAAAAACAGATTAATTTCTCTGCCCTCATAATTACACAAAATATTGGGTGCTGTCATCATTACAATTTGGCCTTCCCCCTACTTCCCTGGCAGCTCAGATGGTAAAGAATCTGCCTTCAATTCAGGAGACCTGGGTTCAATCCCTGGGTTGGAAAGATCCCCTGGAGAAGGGAATGGCTGCCCATTGCAGTATTCTGGCCTGGAGAATTCCATGGACAGAGGAGCCTGGCAGGCTACAGTCCATGGTGTCGCAAAGAATCAGACACAACTGAGCAACTTTCACTCACTCACTCCTGTTCCTCCTTGATTCCTTGAGCTTAGCTTCTAAGCTGGTTTATCTGTCGTCGTTTAGTTGTTAAATCTCCTCTGATTCTTTATGACTGGAGTGGGTTGCCATTTCCTACTCCCTCCTCCAGAGGATCTTCCCAACCCAGGAATCAAATCTGCATCTCCTGGGTCTCCTGCATTGCAGGCGGTTTCTTTATCCATTGAGTATCTGTCTGTAGAAGACTACAATATGGGGACCATCTCTTCAAAGATATCTAAATCCAATAGGAAAAATATAATGAAGATATTGAATATTTGCTAAATAAATCTGTGAAAGATTGGATTTATTGGTGATTAGATGGAGTTACTATTTTCATCATTTCTATTTTTCCTTTGATTCCCTACTTTTTATTGCCAATACTCTATGAAAACATAATTGTAATGACTAAAGAATATTCTAGAAAGTGAGTGTATTGTGATTTATCCAATTATTTCTTTATTAGCATACAACTAGTGTGATTCCAGCTCTTACAATAGTATGTACAATATCTTCTTCATTAACCTTGTTTATAAATTTTATTTTGCTATTATTTTGTATCTAATCATATGTTAAATTTTTACTGTATTTAAGTATGTAAATTATTCTAATCTTTCTACTGGTTAGCAAAAATCCTTAGAAAGTTTAAACAACTACTGTATCATATCCAAATGCATGTTCTCCTCTCCCTTAACCTTTGGTATTTTTGCATTCTTATTTCTGTCAAGTTATTTCATTTAAAGTACTTTTCATAATGTCTCATAAATAGGTACTATACATAATGGCTGGAGAAGGCAATGGCACCCCACTCCAGTACTCTTGCCTGGAAAATCCCATGGACAGAGGAGCCTGGTGGGCTGCAGTCCATGGGGTCGCTAAGAGTCAGACACGACTGAGCGACTTCACTTTCACTTTTCACTTTCATGCACTGGAGAAGGAAATGGCAACCCACTCCAGTGTTCTCACCTGGAGGATCCCAGGGACGGGGGAGCCTGGTGGGCTGCCGTCTATGGGGTCGCACAGATTGAAGCGACATAGCAGCAGCAGCAACATGCGTAATGGTATTATTATAAATTTTGTTACTAGCAATCATATATATATCTGTGTATATAGATAGATACATATATGTATATTTGTCCAGGTACTTGAAACACTAATGGCATTCTGTTTCTTGGATGCTTAAATTTTTCTTTGTTTCATCATCAGTGAGTATAAATATCTTATATTTGTTGATCCTTTACATTTTTTCCATAGGTTTTCTTATTATGTCTTTTATATTTTTTATTGGCATATTTCTCTTTTTATCCATATTTTAAAATACTTTTAAAGGTAGTAGTAGTTTTATTATTATTGTCATTTTGTTTTAAATATTTTCAACAACTGCCTTATGAGTTTTTTAACCAAAAAAGCTTAACATTAATGAAATACATTGATGTTCTTAAAATGATTGTATATACCATTGTTTTTACATTTAGAATAGCTTTCCCAAAGCGTAATCTCCGAAATGGGGGCTTCCCAGGTGGTGCTAGTAGTAAAGAATTCACCTGCCAATGGAGGAGACATAAGAGACGTGAGTTTGATCCTTGGGTTGGGAAGATCCCCTGGAGGATGAAATGGCAACCCACTCCAGTATTCTTGCCTAGAAAATCCCATGGACAGAGGAGACTGATGGTCTATAGTCTTTAGGGTCACACAAAGTTGGTCACGACTGAAGCAACTTAACACCCCCCCCCCCCACACACACACACACACACACAGAATTTCCAATGAGGGAATAGAGAGTACAGCATTTATTGAACATACTTGACTATGGACTGCTTTGCTCATAGAGAGTTCCATGGAGCTAATGCTCCTCAGCACACACTGTAGGGGACCTTATGAAGAAATTATTTGCCTGTTTCAAGATCATTTTTTAAAAGTTAAACCATACTTTTTTTTAGTTTTCAAAGCTTTGTTTTTCATTTATTTAACTATTCTTTCCTATAAGGGCTTTATTTAATTATATATACATTGAAGGTGGGACTTTATTTTTTCACCCAATAATCAGTTCTCTGAATAACTTTTGTTTAAAAACCTACATCTTTTAAATGATGTGATTTTTATGTATATTATTGGTGTGTTGAGGTACTATCTATTCTATTAATCTGACTATAATTTTATGATCCAGACCACAGAGTGTTTTAGCATCGCAATATATTTGAACATCTCTTTAACTATATTTGACTATGTGATTTATTTTCCCCAGAATATTCATAACTATCTTTACCTATTTATTCTTCCAAATAAACTTTAAAATTATTTTTATCAGGATCCCAAATAACATTTTATTGATCTTATAATTAATTTGGAAACAATTTGCATGTTTTACAAAATCCAGTGCTCCATTATGGAAATGCAGTGTCTGTTCCTATTGAATTGGAGTTTTCATTTATATTACTTAGGAAAGTATTTTAATACTTCTCATATAGATTATGTGCATTTCTTAATAAGATATTACTATTATGTGAATGGTACCTTTCCTCATTATGTACTCTAATTGGTTATTTCTGCTATACAGAAAAACTATCAACTTTTGCCATTTAATTTGTATCCAATCACTGTAATGAACTTTAATATTAAATCTCAGAGTTTTTTCAATGATTCCCTTGAGTTTTCTATTTAAAGAGTCATATTATCTGCTAATAATAACAAAAACTTGTCCTTTCTCATTTCAATATTATATTTTATTGCCTTGGCAAGGAAGTATATGCAAGAATTCTTGTTTTTAATTAAATATAATTTTGAATCTTTAAAAAATATATATATATTTTAAAATATATTAATGATCATTTTATTCATAATACTGTAGGATTTTATTTTTAAAATTAGAAATGAATGTTGAATGCTATTGAAGAGAATTTTACCAACAAATAACAAAAAAGGAAATCCAATGAAATTTCTTCTTATATCAAATTTGTCTATCCACACATGTGTATATATCACAAATTAACATAATTATATATATTCAAATATATATACAACTACATACAAACACATATGTCTAATGTTACTAAAAAGTCTGGCTTTTCTGTGCCAAATTCTCTCTGGTTGTAAAATAAAATGGCTTTGTACAGGCTGTGCCTTAGTGCCTAATGCTGAGGCTGCCACACAATTTTCTCATGTGGCTTCAGATGTTTGTAATAAATTATTTTTATATTTTCCTTGGGCCTTGGGATAATGTCCTCTTTACCTTTTTTTGGTTATTGTTATTAGACCTTGTGTCATTGTTTTTGTTTTTTCCTCTTTGCCGTTCTTAAATCAGAGTCTTGCAGTTATCAGTGTTGGCCATCAGACAGGTATCAATTTTCTTTGAAGCTGATCTAACAGGTGCTAACTGAATCACCTTTTCATATCTGTGTAGATGGAAAGGTACTTAACACCTATGATTGTCAGCATATATCTGTGTCGAGTATAAGTTTATCTGGTTCAGTTCTTCTGGACTGAAATGGAACCAGTTTTCAAGTGCATTGCCTGAATCTGGCACCCTAGAGTTGAAGGATGGGGAGGGAATTCTATATTGTGTTAATGTAGGAATTTCTGCCTATAGGCCATTTACGATTCCATACCTGCAGATTGATGTTCTCTGAGATGTAACTCCATGTGTTCAATCCTACACCACCCGTGCAGTTGATTTATTAGAATTGTGTTCTGTGTATATGAATGTTCAAAAGTATACATCATGGAGTTGGCTCGAGACATGAGGACCAGAGAGAGCCCACAGGAACAAAGAGTGACCCTCAGCTGATAGCCAGAAAGGAAGCAGGACTTATAACCACTAAGAAAGTGGGTACTGCCAACACCTTGGTTTGTTCCTGGAAGAACTTCAGCAAAGAAGCTGTTTTTAGGCACAGTGCTGGGACTTTGACTTGCCTAAATTGGAAGATCCTTTATCTGTACTGATGAAAGCCCCTAAGTTTGTGGTGTCAGGTACATATTGCTGTCTGAAAATTTTTCTTTGTCTCCTGCTGCACCCCACCTTCAATTTTCACAGGCATTGCCTCCAATAAATCTCTTGCAATTAAAAAAATAAAAACTTAAGGGATGTGTGGGGGAAGGGCAGTGATGAGAGTAGCCTGATACCTGAAGAAGAGACAATTTCACATTATAAGGATGACTGCCCCTGTATTCTGTTAGATACTAACCCAGAGTGTCTACACTGCTGTGCATGTAGTGAGGAAGAGATGAGATGTTTCCCTACTAGGTTTTCGCAAACAGAACACCTTTATTCTAAGGAAGAAGTTGAAGGAGACTATTCATTATTTTTATTATAATTTTCCATTGCTTTGCTATTCAGTAGAAATCTGTCCCAACCATACCTAACTCATGCACTACATCCACCCTCTTCCAGTCATAATTTTTCAAGTTTCTCTGAATTTGCATTTTTTCTGCTTTCATAGGTAATTTATTGGAAAGTTTGAAGACAATAAAGAGTGACTTTGTGGTTGCCTGTTAAGTAGAAATCTAAGACCATTCAGCATCTTCAAGTGAGGAAAAAGCTCAGAGAAACAAATCAGTAGTTTTGTTCATTTTGTTCTAGAACACTTCAATCCTATTTTTTAAAGGAAACAAAAGTAAAGTAAAATGCCTTTAGCCAGATGATTGGAAACTTCAATCTTGAGTTCAGTGCAGTCGCTCAGTCTTGTCGGACTCTTTGCAACTCCATGGACTGCAGCACGCCAGGCTTCCCTGTCTATCACGAACCCCTGGAGCTTGCTCAATCTCATGTCCATTGAGTCGGTGATGCCATCCAACCATGTCATCCTCTGTCGTCTCCTTCTCCCCCTGCCTTCAATCTTTCCCAGCATCAAGGTCTTTTCAAAAGAGTCAGTTCTTTGCATCAGGTGGCCACAGTATTGGAGTTTCACCTTTAAAATCTGTCCTTCCAGTGAATATTCAGGACTGATCTCCTTTAGGATGGACTGGTTGGATCTCCTTGCAGTCCATGGGACTCTCAAGAGTCTTCTCCAACACCACAGTTCAAAAGCATCAATTCTTCAGTGCTCAGCTTTCATTATAGTCCAAATCTCAGATCCATACATGACTACTGGCAAAACTGTAGCTTTGTCTAGACAGAGCTTTGTCAACAAAGTAATGTCTCTACTTTTTAATAAGCTGTCTAGGTCGGTCATAGCTTTTCTTCCAAGAAGCAAGCAGCTTTTAGTTTCATGGCTGCAGTCACCATCCGCAGTGATTTTTGAGTCCAAGAAAACAAAGTCTGTCACTGTTTCCATTGTTTCTCCATCTATTTGCCGTGAATTGATGGGACCAGATGCCATGATCTTCATTTGTTGAATGTGGAGTTTTAAGCCAGATTTTTCACTCTCCTCTTCCACTATCATCAAGAGGTTCTTTAGTTCCTCTCCACTTTCTGCCATAAGGGTGGTGTCATCTGTGTATCTGAGGTACTGATATTTTTTCCGGCAATCTTGATTCTAGCTTGTGCTTCATCCAGCCTAGCATTGAAATAAATCTTAATTTCACATAATGAACTACTTCAGAAAAAATGCTATGAAGCTACTTAGACCACATAAATTTCTCAAAATAGCGAACAAGACAATGAGAAAAGAACTATAGAGGTGTGACTAAATATTCTTCAAAATTATTATTATTGAGGTATAGAAGTTTTAAAGAGTAACAAAGGGTTTATAAAGTTACTGTCATACCAACGATTTATCTGACCACTTTTTAAAATAGTTCCCAAGGGATTTTGTAAATTGCCAATCTTACACTAAACACATATTACTGTGAGTTCTCTAGAGAAACAGAATCAATAGGAGAGAGAGAAAGACTCTAAGAAAGGCAGAAAGAGACAACGAGGCAGAAAGAATTCTTTCTTATTCTATTCAGCTTCAACAGATTAGATGAGGCTCACCCACATCTAGAGAGATATCTGTTTTCCTTAATCTATTAATTCAAACAGAAATCTCATCTAGAAACACTCTCGCAGACATACTCAAAATAATGTTTAATCAAATATCTGGGCATCCTATCGCCTAGTCAAGTTGACACATAAAATTAACCAGCACAATGCTTGGTTTTATAACACTATAACTCAGGTAAGTATAATAGCTGAAGAAAATGCATTAAAAGTCACCTGACATAAAAAATAATTTGATCCCATACCATCTGATGCCACTATTATATTTAACAGAATGGCATTTGCTATAAAGAAAACATATGGAGTGAAATGTCATTTGGCCTCTCAATTTGTGTCTACATGAATTTCTCTTTAATATGAGGCCACTTTCTTAAAAGTTCACTGGACCTGTACTGTTTTCTCATATTTAGAACCATTGGGTCTTAATGCAAAAAACTCAAAAGATACCTGACCTGCATACCTACTGACATCTCACAAACCTTCCATACAACATTTTCATGATTTGGGAATAAATAGTATAAAGTATTATTCAGGAAAAACTCTCTTTATCTATTCTCAATATTTAAAATGTATAAATTAATGATGTGTTATCAAAATGTTCTAAAAGATTTCTTAATAAAATGTACCACAGAAGAGCCTTAACACACTGTAATCACATTATTCCCATTTTATAGATGAAGGACTGTATGCTTGTTAGACATGAAATACCTCCCACAGGGTCAGAGGGCTAATAAATTAGTAGCAGAGCCAGAAATGTGCTAGATGAGTAAGCAAATGCAAATTAATTTTACTGTATATTTATTCTTTAAAAAGTAGTTATTAATTTTAAAATGTTCTTGTATATGTATTTTAAATTTTTTAAAAATTAAAATAAATGTCATGCATCAAAGATTTGTGCTACAGATGCTAAAACATAGTCTTA